ATCGTGAGAATGTGGTTGAGCCTGGTGTATACCAAGTGCAAACTGTTTTACATTGATACTTGTAAATTCAGAGACACAGTGAGGGAAATAAAGACAAACGGAATTGTGCTGTTAAGTTGAAGTGAATGTGAGAACTTTGAGCTGCTCGTTGTAGAACATGGAGAGAGACGAGGAGAAGCCTCGGAGCCGTGTCGTTGCTGTGAGATATGGTGGAGAACGAGGACGTCCAGAATTGCGTCCTGTCAGCATGTTGTTCAGAAGCCGAGTGAGGCAAGAGCAGTGTTGCTGCACCATGTGAGTCTGGAGCTGGATCGAACCAGGGCTGGCTGAACAAAAGTTTGGTGCCCAACCACAAGACTATCTGAACAACAAAAGAGAAACTGTGCTGTACTAAATACAACCATTCAAGTGAAACACTGGCTGTGACCACAAGTACAGAGCCCTCATGCTTTCTTTGACTTTTTATTGAGTCCATGATTGTTTCTATCCACCAGGACTGACTTGGCTCTGTACTCTACAATGTCCAATGGTTGGATAAAACTTTTTTTATTCAACAATCTGACTGTGGATGTTTCCTCGAACCAGGGTGTTTATTAAAGCAGTCGTTTCAAACTCTGAACATGGTGGACCTGCTGAAAATATTGATTTCTTTTCTTCTTCTATCATCTGTAAGATTTTGTCCATAAGGATGAAGTTGAGTCCGACCTGTGAAGTCTGTGGGACTCTGAAACGTCTCCTTCATCATGCCGGTGTTCAGTCTACAGGAGATGTTCACCCGAGCCTTGTCAGAGACAGAATGAAGACACTTTAGGGGTGTGAGACTAAAGTGGGTGGACCCATGCACTGTGAAGTAGCTCGGCCCACTCTACTCTCCACACAGCTAAAACCTTGTCAGTCTGTACTGAACACCGTCTAAATGAAGGAGATGTTTTACAGTCCCACAGACAGTTTATTTATTAGAGTTATAATTTAAAATGTAATAAGTTAGACTAAAAATATAAGTTTTTCTTTTTAGTTTTCGCTGTCATTTTCATGAATGGACACTTCCTTGTCTGAGGCAGGAAACAAAGCCTTATATGGTGTTTTTTGGGTGGTAATTATGCTAATCTCCTCTCACGTGCACGAGCAGCTGGATACAAACAGGTGGAATTTACGCAGCTCATTTACACACTTTTCCTGAAGATAGAAGAGTTTGTTGAATCTGACGTGACATGTTCGTACGAACCCTTTGTACGAACAAAAGTAAGAGAAATTTAGGATAAGAATACGAACATGTTCTTGCATGAGGCCCATTGTGTTGCCAGATCCTCTCCTCTCCTCTCCTCTCCTCTCCTCTCCTCTCCT